AAGCTTGCTTTCCTCCATACACCCTGAAGTTGGGAATGCCAAGAGGATTCGCTCTTTGGGACCCATCTCAGTACATCATGAATTCCATATTACAGCCCTGCTTTTGTGCACAGCCAAGGTGGCAGAGTCCCAAGTTTGAAGTTTTAAAGAAGACTTTGATGAGAAGCAGAGGTGAGGGGAGGTGTGAGGCTGTCCACCCTGACCTGGTCACAAGCAGGCAGATCTCACTAGGAAGCTGGGCTCACTTCCTTCCAGACAAGGTAGCTAGGTTCCCACAAAGGCAACAGACTGTTTAAGAAAGGCATTTCCTTGATCTTACTCTCCTTCCTGGCTGTGGTAGGTGTGGCAATAAGGTCCTCATTAAGAACTTAATCAAGTTCTTAATCAAGTTCCAAGAAAAAAAAATCAATCTAACAACTCAAAAAAGAGCTACAGGTATTTTTAAAAATATACTCATGATGGGCTTGAGTTTGTCTGTCTGCTATACCCAATACTTCAAAATAGAGACCAATTAAAGGCTTACTCTAGGTTGTTTATCATGCCAGGCTATCTAGTTCCTGTTCAGAACCTCTTTGATGGGCTAATAAATCCCCCTCCCCCAATAGCGAGAGTCTCTTGACTTGTCAACAATGACTTGGTTCCTTTGCTTCTAGATCTTGTCATTCACAGACCCAGAGTAAGCAGCCCATCCGGGGAGGAATTTGTTTTATCTCAGTATTTACAGAATCCCATTAGAGCACAGCATCTGGACTGTGGGATTTCCATCAAGGACTCTTGCCTGTCACATCATCCTTGGAGTTGTAGATGCATCCTGGGGTTATTTGATAGTTAAGCCTCCCCCACTTCAGAACTGGCTGTTTTGTGGTCTCTCTGCTCTGGGTTTAGTCCACTGAGGATGCTCCCAGCCTCAGATGCTGTGGACAAAAGCAAACAGATGACTGATGGACTGGAGAGGCTTCTTCCCATCCAGATATTTTGGCAACTTCTGGCAGAGCAATCACTAACAAAGGACACACCAGGGATCAAACACCGGTCAGCGTCCAGAAAAGCCACTGCAGGGTAATCTGGAAACAGAAAAACAAGAAGAGGAAACAGGCTCTCCCAGGCCTCATAGATTCATTTAGAACTCCAAGTATTTCTAAATAACTTGGCATGTAGTTAGACATCAAGTCTTTCTCCATTGTTTTTTTTTTTTAACTTTTAACTTTTTGTTTTATTTTGTTTCTGATCCTCGGATTTACATTTCTGGGGGGTAAGGTTGCTAAAGAAATTAATATTTGAATACAGAGAGGCATGCAGCTGAGCAGCCAGACAGCTGCAAGTGTTTGGAAGACTTGGAGCTGCCTCTCTGACTAGCTCCTGCTTCTTTGCCTTTTATTTCTCAAGTGGACACTCACTCTGACCCAGATTACTTGGTGATGAGGGTCAACTCATGTTTATACTTTGAAGACAAGAGAAACCAGGAATGGCCACTGCTTCCTTTCTGTTTTCTTCTAAAATCTTGCTAAACTTTGAAAATGAAAAACTTTAAAAAATACAAAATATTCCAAGTTCACGAAAGGAATTTATTCACATTTCTGCCATGTTAAATGTTAGCTAAGTTTACACTGGGCTGTCATATTTCTTTACTTTATTCACCAGCATACAAGACGCCGATCTCAACATCTGGTTTTTAATAACCCTCGACATCTGGGAGCTCCCTTTTATTCCTATGGTGGACTAGGAACAGTAGAGATATTGGCAGTGTGTATTTTCAAGCTACAACTCCTGTCTGTTTCAATCATAATTAATTACCACTCTTTAATATATTTAATTTGTTACAAGTGATTTGCATTAGACCGCACTTCACCGTTGAGAAAGGAGTGGCAGATTTTGGTGGCACTGGCTTTTCCTTCTCTTTCTTCTTCTCTTTTTTTTTTTTTTTTTTATTTAAAACCCTTATTCAGGGGTTTGGGGAAAACTTCTTGTAAATGTGTTGTGGGGTTTTAATATAAAATTATAAAAAATGT